CAAGCCCTTCTTGCACCCTCTGACCAGCTACCTTCTGCAAGTAGCTCCTTCTAGCTTGTCGTCCAGGGTTCTGCGCTGCGATTGTAGCCAGCCCTGGGTACTGGGCCCTCAAGCGCTCCCACTGTCCACTGTCACTGGTGGGAGGTAACTCTTCAGGAACCCAGGCGTCCTCGTCTAACCACTCACCAAACCCAAGGTTGCTGCCTTCGCTGGGCCTGGCTTGTAGTCTGAGCGCGTCCTCTGCAGACAAGTCTCCAGGCACAGGAGCCTCTTGCGGTTCCCTGTCCCTGGACTCCGACCTGTTCAGCGCTCGCTCTGCTCGTCTGGCAAAGCCTCGTAGGATCCTTCGCTCCTCTGCTTCTGCACTACGATGACGACTGCGAGGTGCGTCGGCTTCTCTCCCTTTTCTAACACCCTTCTTGGTCTTTCCAGACCCCTTTCCTTTTGCTCCACCTTTTCCCGTGGTGCCTTCTTCGCGACTGCTACTGGCGCAGTTCGCTTCTGTCTTGCTTCTTTAACGAGGGTTTTGGCAAGACTCCCTCGAGTCCGGCAGGCTTTGTCGCCCTGCCTGCGGTGTCACCCGCTGCTGCTTCACACGCAGCTAACGGTATCACCCGTTGTTCACGAGCTCCGGTCGACTGGCTTCTGAACCAGGAGCTCCGCTACCATGCGAAACGAGCGGAAACCTATTTTCTCCCACTCTTGCTTGTGCCTATAAAGGGCTTCGGTAAAGACACCTCTATACAACTGTACAAGGTACATGCTTTACCTAGAAAGTGGTGTGGGGTCAGCAACTTTCGCACATAAACCCTAAACCCTAAACCCTAAACCCTAAACCCTAAACCCTGAACCCTAAACTCTCATCTTTTTTTTTGTTCGTGTTGGCTGGAACTAGAGGATGCTTCACACAATGCCCATGTCCTACCTCTACCAATCTTGCTCAAGGCGACAGGATTGTGATGCTTGTTGGTGTTCGGTCCTCTCTGCGGATCTTTTCAAGGAAGGCGGCCTCTTCCGCAGGTGAGCCAGGTATGAAGGTGGTGGAGGATCCTCAGCTGCTCTCTGGTTGCTTCGTGCTTGTTTTGGGCGATACGACAAGCCTTAGTTGGCCCTCCTGCTTCCAATCTATGCCGTCATCTCACACAGCACACGTCCGACTAGCTGCAACAGAGATGAAACGAGAAGCTGGTGGTCGTAGTGGTCGCGGAACTGGAACTGCTGGTGCTTGTTTTCGTCAGTGTGCTGCTGCTGGAGGTGGCAGTTGTGCTGGTGTGTGTAATACTTGTCCTGCTGGTAGATGTGGTACTGGTGCTGCTTTTGCTAGTGCTTGTGAACGAGATGCTTGTGGTCGTAGTGGTCGCGGAACTGGAACTGCTGGTGCTTGTTTTCGTCATTGTGCGGCTGCTCGAGGTGGCACTTGTGCTGGTCTGTGTAATAGTTGTGCTGCTTGTGGATGTGGAAATGGTGTTGCTTTTGCTAGTGCTTGTTGTGGTCGCCGTGCCTGTGGAAGTGCTGGTGGTGGTGGTTGTTGAAGTGGTCGTATCGCTGCTGCTCGTGCTTCTGCTCGTGGATGTTGTGCTTGTGGATGTGGTGCTGGTGCCAGAGGTGCTGGTGCTGGAGGTCCTGGTCGAAGTGCTGGATGTGGAGGTGGAAGTGGATGTGGTGCTTGTGCTTGTGGTGGCTGACGTGGACGTGGTCCTGGTGCTTGTGCTGCTGGCGGTTGATGTTGTCGTGGTTGTGCTGGTGGTTGTGGTGGTGCTGGTGCTTGTGGTGGTGGATGTTGAGGATGTGGCGGTTGTTGTGGTGCTTGTGCTGCTGGATGTGGTTGTTGTGCTGGTGCTGCTAGTGGCAGTAGTTGTCGTGGTCGTGCTGGTTCTGCTTGTGGTTGTTGATGTGGTCGTGGTGATGCTTCTGGTACTGCTTGTAGTGGCCTTGAAACATTGAAGTAACATTGCAGCAAGCTTTCTATCGGGCCTGCTTGTCTCGCGACTTGATCAGCGCTCCGGCAAAATCAAACCTCAAACTAGGCTCCTGGCCGTAGCTGTTGCGGTTGTCGTGGTGGTGGTCTGGCCCAGGCAAGGAGATGCTTGCAGCATGAAGGCACTTACGGACTTACGGAACACATAATATTCGCAAAACTGATCACAAAAACAATCCCCTTCGTGTGGAAAACATGCCAGGAGCAATTCTCGCACCGTGTCTCGGTACAGAAATCTTGCGCCGCATCGTTTCGTCGAGAGCTGCTTTTCGGACACTTTTGACCAGTTAAGGTCATCCTTTGAAGGTCTCTGACCAGGTCGAATAGACAAAGTAAAGTCATTAACAATAAACACGGCTCGTGTCAGTCCTAAGTGAGGCTTGAAGGAACCGTTCCGCTATCATGCAGCCATCATGCAGCAATCATGCCACAGCAAATACGGACGAGTCTTTTTTTGCTCTACGAAACAGTAAATCAAGCTACCTAGTCAACTATTTGTTTATAGACACTTCCGGAATGGCCGACACGGGCCCTCGGGTGCTCTAAAGTCACACGCAGTTTCTGCGGACCTTGGGCCACACCCCTGGAGGAAGGCAACCCCCAACCTGGAAATTGCAGATCCCAGCCAGTCTAGCGTCAAGGCAACACCCCTGAAACCAACAACCAGCCAGATCAGCCAGCTCCGAGTACATAGCCGGGCAGATGCTGCAAGTGGTAGCGCTGTGGACCTTATAACCTGTTGAATTTAATCTCCATCTGCCCTTCCACGCTCCCATGACAAACACAAACAAAAATCCAGTCTCACGATCCAGCTCATGGCACTTCATGGGCAACAAAAGCGGACTGACAGCAAGTGCCTGTGCAAACTTCGCGAGAAAGATGTCGTATGAACCGTCTGAAGCCGCATTGCTCTGGCTGTCCAAATTACCACCTGTGTAGCCCAGCAGGTAGACGTTGCCTGCGCTGTCGGCCTGATGACATGCAATGATTTTCGTTTCCACTTTGTATGTGTCTGTGTGTTCGCTCCTTCGTCCGTGTTTGCACCAGTTCGTTCGCTCGATCGTTTTTTCCTTCTTTCTTCGTTCCTTCCTTCTTCTGTTCATTCGTTCGATTGCGTTTTATGTAGTTGCTCGCTTGGTGCCTGTGCTTGCAGAGCTTTGATGTTTTTTGCGGATTTTGCAGATACTTTGCGTGGCTGGGCCTTGTCATGCCCTGCCTTGCCTTGCCTTTCTTTGCCTTGTTTCTCCGCTTGCTTTTTCTTACGCCTGTGTTAAAGACACCGCCGATTGTGCACTCCATGCATGATGACCTTCAACTTACGTTAACGATGCACTTGCCCATGGAGGGGAACAGGACGGTGCCTGGGCAACTTACATTTTACTCCTTGCTGTGGTGTCGTGTTTGCTACTTGGGAACAGCTTAAGCTACCTTCATGGTCCATGGTAGTGGAGCTGAAGCTCCAAGGAGTGTTGAGACAGGTCTGAGCCCAATAGGCCGTGACAGGGCTTCGTGCTCTAGAGGCCCAGGAAGACTCCTCAAAAGTTAGGGCAGGGGACGGACGTTTGCCCGCGCTTTTTTGGAGAAATGCGTGTTTTACTCGAAAAAACACACGTTTTCGCAGGTTTCGGCTAGGGGGGTTTTCGACATGAAACTTCGAAGTTCCGTGTTGAAGGTTTGGGGAGTACAGGCCAGGTTGGGGAGCATGAGCAAGCACAGCAGAGCAGAGGAAGGTTTACTCGAGAAAAACCGAGGTTTTTTTATTTTTCCACTTCAAGAGTGGTTGTTTCATGTGTGTGAACATGTCTCTTTTCCTGCATTTTGAATGGTGGCCCAAATTTATTTTTTTGGGGGTTCCACGGGCTCGGGAAGAAAGTTGAGGCAGAGTAGAGGCACGGCAGTTTTTCGTCTCGCTGGCACAGGGCAAGAAGTACCGAGCACAAGTGTACAGCAGAGGAGAGGAAGGTCTAGTTTACTCCAAAAAACCGAGGTTTTTTGAGGAGTGGTTGTTTCATTTGTGTGAATATGTCTTGTTCAATGATTGTGAAGATGATGCTGCTGAAGCAGCGGATGAGTTACTTACCGTACTTGTTGCACTTTGGTTCATGGTGTGGCTGTCATGCAAAATGCGACCGGAAGTACGGCAGAATTCGCGACCACTCACTGTGAGGTGCGGCGCATACTTGTTAGGAGGCATACTTCTCTTAAAGCTTCGGGCCGTGCAACTTGAGAAGATGCGCAATTTAAGGCTTAGCAGCAACAGCTCCGAGCGAGAAAAACTGGCTACTGGGCGAAGGCTGGGAGCGAAAACGACCAAAGGGAGGAACAAGCCTGAAGCAAAGCGAGGACACTCGTCCCGTTCTTTTCTCGGTTTGCCTCTTCAAGTGCAGGCTCCGACGGAATCTGCTGGAGGTGTCGCCGGCAGAGTGGATGCTTGAGCTGCAAGGGGCCCTCAGGTATCATTGTTATTATGGAGGCCAAGCCTCGCATTTTTTGGAAACTGTTTTGCAGTTTTGCCCTAAAACCCTGGCAGGAGAGAAGTGAGCATGAGGACCTGGCCGCCAAAGGGACAGCTGGAAACCTGCAGTGGTTGAACAAACTGTTTTGCCCTCAGCCGTGTCAGGAGCAAAGCCGAGCCTGAGAGAAGCTCTGTGCCTGAGTTTTTGGAAGTTGCGCAGGAACAAAAACGGTGCCCAAACTCAAGAATCTTTCGCAAAAAAGCTGCGATCGTAGCGGTTGAGTTCGCAGAACAATTCCGGGAAACTTTGTGATTCTACCGGACTGCTCGTATAAACCGGTCGCCACATCCGCCGAGGCCTTGGGCCGTAGGTGTATGGGTAGCACAAAGCAGGCACTCCCCAACACCTTCTGCCCCTCATTTTTGCCACTTTTTTCGCTGAAATGGGTACCCTCATGTACCCTCCCTAGCCAACACGTGTGCGGAAGGTGACCGTGCATCCGGACCAGAGGGAGCTTGGGCTGCCCCCCACCTCCCACCTTTATCCCCCCCTGGTGCAGCTGCAGTTCAGGGTGCCACATGCAGCCACTCAATGGCAACTCTTGTCAACAAGGCCTGCACGCCATAGGCCTGATCAACGCCGCTGGTCCCGCGCACGCTCGTCCACTGGTGCGCCCCACTGCTGTCAAACATCATGAGGAAGGCATCAGCGTCACCCGCATTCACATGGTTGTCCAGGCTCCCGGATGTGTGGCCTGCCAACCAGATATTGCCTTCGTTATCCACCTCGGCCAAGGACCAAGAACTTGGGACCAAAAGGCAACGGGATGCTCTGAGAGGACTGGCATGCTACATGAAATATAACAGCATGGTCTAAATAGCCATGCAACCGCTTACTTGACGGCTCATCATACGTTTGTAGCGGTACTTGTCGGCTTGATATGGTGGGCATAGGCCAAAAGCTAAAAGCGCATGCAATCATTGCGATGGAAAGGTGGCTCGTGTCGGAAAGGTTAGACGGGGCGAGGAAGGTGAAGCCTCTTGAGTTCTGGGTCCTGAAGCTCGTGTCCTGATCTTGGAATTTCCTTCGTGAACTTCGGCATGGAGTTTCTAGGGGTCTGAATTCCCAAAGGACTGTCTCAAAATGTCTTCATCACACACGCACTGCACAAGCCTCCATTGACTTCAAAACTCTTTCTGCACGGGCCTCCATTGCATGAACTTGGTCGCTGTCGGCGGTCCCACGCACAGTTGTCCATTGCCATGCTCCGCTACTGTCAAACTTCATGAGCAGGATATCGTCGGAACCCGCGTTGGGCTGGCCGTCCACCGTGCCGGCTGTGTAGCCAGCCAAGAAGACATTGTCGCCACTATCCACCTCGGTCACAAAACAGCCAGACTTGGACAGAAAAACGGCCTGGCGAAGAGTATGCTTGCGAAGATGAACAAATAGATGTACTTTTCCTACTTGAGCAAGGACAGGCTTGCAGCCACAAACCTGAAAGCCAAGCTCAATCGAAGAAAAACAAATCAGGCCTTGCCGGAATCTTCACGAATCCACCCTCCATTTTCTTAGTGATTTTGAAGGCCGTTCCCTAGAGGGAGTCCGGCCAATGATTTCATATCTAGTCAGCTGAGACTGTTTGGGTGCGCTGTTTAAGATGTTGAGCCCTTGTCTTTAACACTTTGGGCTTAGGGCCCTTTGCTGTATGGGGTTCCATGGAACGGCTTGCAACTTACTTCTGGCCCATGATGCAATTGTTGCTTCTTCGGATTCACGGCTTGCGCTCGTTTTAGGAACGAGGGCTTGCTGGCCATCATGCGGAATCTCTAGGCTTGGGGCTTGCGTTTCCTGGCGGGTTCTTTGGAGATTTTTACTTTTTCCCTTCGGCTATTCGGCCCATTCGGCATGTGGGGTGTGCTTGCAGCCTGCGGGTCTTCCGTTCAGGGTCTGTAGGTTCGGCACTCTGGGCCTCATTTCTGCTTCTTTCAGAGTTCAGCGGTTCGAGGATGAAAGGCGGCGGCTCCATTCATTCGTGGCCCGTGAAAAGAGCTGCTCTGCACCGAAAAGATGTCCAGGTTTGTGTAGGTTTTTGCCAGCCATCACGAGTGCTCCCGCAAAAGACTACAGGTTAGTAAGCCAGCACACGGTCACAAGCAACGCAAGATCACTCGAACTGTGTCACTCAGTCATAGTGCAGACATAGCAATCCAGACCTTTCCTGACCCTGCCTTTATGGCGAAAGCAAAGTCGTTGGCACTGCCCCCGCGCAGGGTTGTCGACTGCCACACGCCACTGCTGTCAAACTTCACCAAACAGACATCGTATGCACCTTGGTGGCTCTGGCCATCGACCACGCCGCCCGCAATGCCCGTCACAAGGATGTCGCCCGCACTGTTCACCTGGGTGAGGGTGAAATGGGTGAAAACATGTACACCCGAGAGAAGGGTATGGACCGATGAGGCAAGACGGGGACATGCAAATTGAAGAGCCAAGCGAAACTCATGCGAGCACGTTCACACTTCTGTAGACAGAATTTTTCTTTCTGGCAGACGCCAGATGATCTGTAAGGTGCCGAAGCAGGAAGAACACTGCGAATAGTGAGATGTTGCTGCTGCACTTCATGAACACACGTAAGCCCCAAGTCGGCCTTGCCGTAAGTCTAAAGCCGGATGCAAGGTACCAGGAAGTCAAGTACAACCCATCATAATCGTTGCAATATGCTGCCAACCAGAGCTGAAGAATACCATGTCATCCCACCCACCATACATCAACTTAGTTGTTTCGGGTATCGATAAGAACTGCAACTCTCTCAGTGCATCGGGCCTGCAGGGCTTTCGCATACTCGTTGCTGCTCGAGCCCCCACGAGTTCTCGTCCACTGGTGCGCCCCGCTGCTGTCAAACTTCATGAGAAGGAAATCGGCGCCACCCGCATTCCCGGTGCCGTCTATGATGCCGGCTGTGTGGCCCGCCACAAAAACATTGCCTGAGTCATCAACCTGCGGGTCTAATGCGAGAAAACCCCGCGAGGTGAGAAAAGTAGGGATTCGCTCTTGCTTGAGAAAAGACAAGTTCAGAAAAGCCGGAATGGCAAAACCTTGACATCACATTTCTGGCTGTCGTGTCACATTTCAAAGACCTCAAGTTCTTGGCGGTCCTACAGTTTTTTGGCCCCTAACACGAAATGCTGCTCAGTATCTGCTCAGTTCACCTCTCTGGCATTCCTCCATGCAACACGCGCTGTCGTTGAATTCGCGGAGTTCGCGGTCGCATGGGACAGGAAGCGCTCCCTAAGTCCATGAGCCCTTTGCGAAAGAAAGCTGTTGCCAACGCCTCTTGCATCTCATGCGAGGCCGGGTTGAACTCTGGCACCCTTAAGAGACCGGAATTCGTACCCAGCAGGTGCGCGCCGAATGAAAGGTTTCCGGACTACGAGTAGCTCGTGAGCGCCTGACTTCTGCCGGCCCGCAAGTGGGCCAAGCATATATTGGGATTCAGCTCAGCCGAATACAATTCTCCAAGATGAACGTGTCTCCAACAAGAGAACTAGAAGAGCGCAAGGATAGCCGTGGCAACAGTCTACTACAGGTAGATGTGCTGGTGCTACTTGATCGCCACCTCCCCTGCCGTGCAGGCTCTGAGAACTGCATCACGCAGCAACCATGAACGACAAACACCGCCAATGAGTTCAGGGGGGATGTTCAAAGTCAGCGCGCTGTCATTCACCGCCGCGCTGGGGGCCACATAGCTCAAGCTCGATGCGAAACGCCAGGAAAGAATAAGAACCCAAGAGGTTTGACGCCCTTTTGAGTGATGAAATCTGCGAAAATGCGGCAAGACAGCGTGCAGCAAGAGAGCACACAAGGAGGGAGGCTCCATCACAAGCTTGACCCGCACATGCGCGAAAAGCCCCCGAACGTGCGACAAGGCCTGAGCCCACGGTGGAACTAAGCGGATGATAAGAAGTGTCACTGTGGCACATGTTGGCATCACGCTGAACATGCCATTTTCTGAAATCCGTATCAGCTACACTGCCGACCATATCAGGCGGATCTACATGTGTGAAGGGAGCAGGGCAACTTGTCGCAACTCCGGCCTGCAGGCCGTAGACCGCGTTGCCGACGGCGCTCCCGCGAAGGGTGGTCCACTGATGGGATCCACTGCTGTCGAACCTCATGAGGAGGACGTCATAGCCGCCCACGAGGCTGATCCCATCCACGCTGCCGTAGGTGAGGCCCGCGACATGGGCATTCCCTGCGCCATCCACCTTGGGTTTGTAGGATTTTGTAGGTTTAGGACCAAGTTTAGGACCTTTTAGGGCAGCTCCACCCCGCTGCATTGCGAGCAGTCAACCAGGTCTCACAAGTTCGACACACAAAAGTTCGGGAAGGAGACATTGCAGCCAATACAATGCCACATCCGCACACGACGTTGCAAAAGCCTTATACCAGGACCCCGAGATTGGATAGCTTCTTGCGCTTGCTCACATACCCTTAATCTACAAGGGAGAGCTTCAACTGACTGCAGAGGGTTCGGTCCATCCTTCTGGGAAGCTTCTTTTGATTTTGTTGGTTCTTGCTACACAAATCGCGTTTTTCTCTAAGTCGTAGTGAGTCATTGTGGGGCTTCTCCTTTGGCGCAGGAAAGCCGATGCCGCCAGCCTGCCCTAACGAGCCAAGCCAAGCCAACTCAATGCCCTTGTGCGCGAGGTCTCCTGCTGACCCGACTTTCGTAATTTGGTTTCGTTCCATGTTTACGTGTATCGGCTTGGCACCCCGCCCATCCCCCCACTTCCCATGGTATCCACAGCCACGCTGGCCATCATCCTGAACCCCAGCGGACCATATCGGACCCGTGGCACGATAACCGCAACAAGAACAATGCAGATTCCCAGCATGAAGGCCCTGGAAGTAGAGCAACTCGCCAAATGAAAGCAAATCTCTGATCGATCGGGCCTGCAGCGCATGCAGCTGATCGCTCGCCGTCCCACCCCTTTGAGATATCCACTGCGTTGTCCCACTGCTGTCCGCCTTTATCAAACAGACGTCCTCGGCCCCCGCGTTGGTGTAAACATCCAAGCTGCCGGTCGTGTAACCCGCCGCCCAAGCGTTGCCGGCGCTGTCAACCTTTGCCAAACGACGCGACGGGGGAAAGGTCATGTAGGTGGTGGAGGCATCTCAACACCACATATACAGACCTCACACACACACACACACACACATGCGACGCAAGAACCTGTAATTCAAGGACAAATGGAAATGGGAGACCGTCTCACAACACATTAATCTGGAGGCAGCCCCCTTGGCTTTCGGAACAGTCTCGGGCCCTCCTAGGTATTGAGGTTTCCTGACACGAGCAACGCAAGCTCATGGCACTTCTGTGGTGCATTTAAGCTAAAAGGTTCAACTCGAATTTAATCTTGCATACGGAGCCCCTGCAAGTATCTCATGCAAAGCAAGTGTATCATGCAAAATCCTAGAAGTGTCCACTTCTGCAAAGATGTTTTAGTTGGCAGGAGATGCTTTATCCCTAATTTGCGTTAGAAGTATGGGGGCTTCTTTTTGTGAAGGGGGCCCCTCCCTCCCTTGTTTGCTCCTCTTAAAACACCTACTCGCAAGTTCCGAACGTCCCAAATTCCAGCAATCCAAGACATGCCAGGAATACACTGATGCGACTGCACGATGTTTTGCCTGTGCTGCCTGCACTACTTCGAAATCTCGTCCAGTCCCCACCCTCCCATGCTCCATAGTCAGGCCTGCAGGGCCGTTGCGTACTCATTGCCGCTTCCCCCAAACAACTTGGTCCATTGCCACACCAACTCACCTCTGGCGGGCCAGAACAGGACTCCATAGAGTGCGATGTGCATCATCATCGCCATTGCTCTCCCGAGCACAGAGTTATTCACTTATTCCGCTGTGTCTGTCGAAAATATTTTCTTCCACTTCGCCAGCGGTCCCTGTCCCTCGCCGGTAGGCGAGCCTCAGTTTACCAGCACTGCGGGTATGTCGGCGACATGTGGAAAGCAAGGCAACTCAATTGGTGGCTAACACGTGAAATGGCATGGACTTCTGTGTGCTGTACTACTGTCTGGTCGGTTACGAATCACACCCGCCTTGACGCGCCAAGACGAATACGGCGAAGCGGCATGACCGTACAAATTCAGCAAAACATAAATACTCAAATAGATGACCTTGTGCGGAGCTGAAACGTGGTTCTATGATCACCCTAAACCCTAAACCCTAAACCCTAAACCCTAAACCCTAAACCCTAAACCCTAAACCCTAAACCCTAAACCGTGATGTTGAGGCCTAGTTCAGAGAGAAGGCAGGCATGGCCAATCTGCCACGCGCCCATGGATTCTCATGTGCCATGTGCTTGAGCCAACGGTCTTGGAGACGGGAAACCCATGGAAGTACCAAACGACGTGGTGGCGTTCAGATGTTCTGCTCAACAAATAGAAGGGTGCGCAAGATCACATCCGCGGGCTGGAATATGAAACGCCAAGAAGCTGCGGAAGATCGAAGCACGCGCGGTTTGCAGGGTTGTTGAGAGGAAAGCGCTTAAATGGAGGCCCAAACGAAACTGAGGGCGGTGGAAGAGATTTCTGCCGCATGAGTTTGATGGGATTGCGCGGCGGCAATGGGGTCCGTCTGCCGTGACTACGGTTCAGAGACATCGCATAAAACACTGTTTAGACAGACGATGCCTAGCTTCCAAGGAATTCAGCCGAAGCCGATGCGATGCATTGAGAACCACCTGTCCGCAAAATCCCTAACTGAACTTGAACAGGCCTCCGAAGGTTTAGGATTCTAGCGTCTCAGGGTTAAGGTTTGTTCACCGAGCAAAACTAAACGTATGTGGCGATTAGCCACATAGGATATAGCAGGCACTCCAGAAAAATCAGACCGGACGGAAAAGAAGCCTTTCTTCGCTGGCGCAAATAGTCCAAGTCGGGCAACCGGCGGTGATGCGCGCAGGTGGATGAACCGCCAGCCTCAACACGGATTGCAGCTCGAGCACATAAGCAAGCATGTTGGACCAGATCGGTGGGTTCTGGACAGTGTGAGTGTGCCAGTGGGATCCGGTATGTGAATGTGAGTGTGGCAGCGCAAAGCTGTCAGGCAGCGAAAGTGTTCCTCCCGAAGTTCCATGACGACCTTCTGAAACTGATAAGGGGTGGCATAGATCCTTAAATATTTCCCAGGATTAGTATAGAAGGCATTAAGGAGCCTGTGCTTGTTAAGCAAATTGTGAATCCTGAAGGCTTCTTCCTTCTTGTCATTGGAATCAATGGAGTATGGTAGATCAACAAAGGTCACACTGCCAGTAGGTAAGCCGAGCAGCGGGGCAAAGCTGTACCACACCTGGAATTCAACTTGTGACTTGGTGGCAACTCGATTAAGGACATTGTTAAAGACCTCTTCCACTTTGCAAAGCAAGGTTTGCAGCTTAGGCAAGCTGGTTCCTCTTGAGCGAAGAGTGACGCTGCATCTGTTGGATTTTTCAGTAAGAGCCACAATCGGATGATGCGGCTTCTTGACATAGGCAAGTCCAAAAGTCCGAACCAATGACTCAACTTCATTCACAAGGGTGCCAATTGTGCCGGCAATTGTGACATGAGTATCTGTCAACTCACTCCGCATCGTTGGCGTGACAGTAATGCTATTCAGGATAGCATTCGGGTCATTGGCATTCGGTATAGGCGTCATGAGGTAAACAAGTTCCTTCTTCTCTTCAATTTCAATGGATCCTATCACAGTCAGGGTACAAACCTGACGAAGGAACTCTTTGTCGAAATTTCTGAAGAGAACACAAGGAAGATCTGAGAGCGAAAGTGTGTTCTGCAAGTTGCACAGTATTGTGACAACGGCTTGGGAGTAAGATATTTACGAAGCTCTGAACGAAGTTCCTGCTCGGATGTGTGGCAAAACAAGTCTTTGGTCTCAACTCTCTGTGCATTCACACAGTTGTCAACCTAACTGCCAGAGGGTGTACTGAGTGCTATGCTACTGCTACGGCCCAGGCGCTTGTGTGGGGACTGTCCCTACGGACGCGTTGGGCAGTT